TGCTGGTCATCGTCGCGGATATCAATACACCAGGAGTAACTGCTGACGCTAAACTTGGGAGGCAAGAAAATTTTGTCAAGGCCGTATGTCCCAAGCAGGAATGACCAAGAGATTTAAACGTGTGACGCCCCCGAACAGCACAAAAACAAATACATTCGGACATCAGGAAGCTCTTGTCGGCATTAACTCAGCATCTTTTGTGAGCATCATTCAACACCGACCTAGTAGACAGCTTCGGACAGACATTAGCTAGACATTACATATGAATGGTGACGGATGCTCGTCACTGGGATGGATTACGTGCCGTATTCCGCAGGGTATTCTGTTAAGCAGTCACAATGAGCCCAGTCAGAAAGCTCATCAGTTGCAACCTTCATTTTACATCGCCATATCACGACTAGCAAGGCGAACGCGGATTTGCTGTATAAAAAAAAACAGAGTTTTCCTGGTAGGCAGTGGTTGGGCATGTGTAGCACATGTCCCGACCGCTGGCTGTGTTCTATCTGGTGCTATTCTCTTGATTCCGACTCATTACATAGCTTTCTTACGGATCAATTCATACCGAAAATGCTGCAACCAGCTACAGCGCCTGCTTTGATCCGGTAACGTTGGTGATAAATAATTTGGAAACGCTTGAAGTCCTTGAACTGGAACGGTCAAATTTCATAGGCGCTTTGGTGGGATGAGTTTTGATGCCATAATTAACCCAACTTGGCTGTTCTGAAACCTTCAGTGGTTAAGGCATGAAATTCAGCAATGAAAAAGACTGGACTTCGCTCTTGCCTCTATGATAACGCTTGTCTAATTTTGAGCCAACAGCAATCCCTCCAAATTTGTGCTTTTCAAGTGGTACAAGACACGAACAATGCTGTAGTGTAAGTTTGGTCGCGCAGCGTTTCCTCTCTTTAGTTCAATGCTTTCTCCATAGCGAAGAAACCCCGTCTCAAGAGGACAATTTTTGATGGCTAGTAGTTCCTGAAGCAGTTCCGTAAACTCCCTAACAGCACAGTTACAGTGCTGTTTTGTCTGTCACTCCTTTTCGCATACTGTGAGTGTCCATTCCTTGAAGTTTTTCCAGCCGAAACAAAAGATTCCAAGAAAACCAGAAGACTACGTCTAAGTAGGAAAAGAGCGAAATGACGCTACGAATCTGATTTTACGAATGTTTCACAAACACGATTCATTCAGAAAACAGACCTGGCGGTGTGTGTCGAAATATTTTTAGCTCGGGTGCGTTTCAGGTGGCTCAGGTGGCTTCAATCTACTCACCGAGCTTAGTAACTAACTTTCAAACGAGAGGACATCACCGAACGGCGCACTGACGATGTCTCCTCGTTTGGTAACGAAACGTTTACAATCTAACTGACAAGCTTGGTGAGCAGATCAACAGCCATCTGGTCACCAGCCCGAAAATAGAGCTCAACGGGTACAAACCTATCGTAATTTTGAAATTGACTTGAAGAACTGGATCTGTTCGGTTCAAATAAGAGAGACGAGAATGTTGCAAAATGTTGACGTTCAATTGATTAGATAGAACAACCAAGAGTATATACAAAACTAACACTATGACAACAGTGAGCATCCCATGAGATCACAATAATCAATTGAATTGTACTCATGTTGTCTTCTGGACGATAATGCAACCTCTGTATCTCATCCCTTAGCTTCCTGTCTCGCCGACAATGGTGCATCAAAAGACATGGTAGCTTGAGGCAGTTCTTTATTTATCGACTTATCACAGAATGTTCCACAATAATCCGATGCAGTCTTCATGAGGGATCGAGAGGTGCCTATCTGTAATTTCTTCACCCTGATTGGCTTACACTCTGACTAATCAGTGCATGCCTTCGTTCGCTTCGTAACCGACTCGCCACATCCCTCCAATCGGCATAGTATTCGTTTTTTTTATTGTGACTCGCCTCCGGACAATCCATAATGACCTAACTGAATGAGCTGAACACACACTTCGGGCTTCTGCTGCATTCCTAAGTCTTTTGATCGCGATCCTGAAACAAAGTCTAACGCCACTTTCCAGTCAACCATTTAAACGAGCATCTTGTGATCGATGATGCCGGATTCCTGGTCTCGGTTCCGTTTTGCGCCGTCGGTTTTTTCAACCGCTGTTCGGGGGGTCTTCAAACCAGTCGCTGCTAATGTATAACTGCAACTGCAAGTGAGCTGGTGAATTACGTATGAGACACAATCCTCAGATAAACTGGCCTCACGGTGTCCTGAACCAGATCATGTTAGGACCGTTGACGGAAAATCAACAGGCGAATGGGCACCCACTAAGGCTGAATAAATTTTGCTAGACAAATTAGTAACTGTGTGACTCTTGGAAGGGGGGGGGGTTCCCTTATAAAAATGACTGACTGACATTGCAAGTTTTTCTGGATGGAACCTAGGATTCTTTTGACAAAATTCCATTTCTCCCGAACAGATATTGTTCTGGTGCTCTAGTACACGGTCTTCACCAGCTTGTGTTTGTATGCCATTGGCTCTCCGCTACCTTACCTCATGGCCGTCAATGAATCGTCAGGACACCAAGTAGTGTGGATATCTGATGGTAGTGTGAGATTTTGGTCAGTCGCTCGTGGCCGGACGGTTAAGTGTTCAAACTACTAGCCAGGAGGTCGCGGGTTCGAGACTCTCCGGAGTTTCGTGAGACGCGCACAGCTGATGATTCCGAATAAGGATGAAACAGCCGGCCAGTGCTTCTCGGTTTTTCAGCACAGATTGGCTTCACTTACAGGACAAAGTCTCCACCCACAAAAACAAACTATCTTTAAATTCTTGTTCGTAAGACGGATGATGGTGAGACTAAATGAAATTAGTGATGAATATATTAGGATTGAACGAACTGATAAAGATTGAAAGGGTCTCTTCTAGATAAGCCCCGCCAAAAAATTAACCCCCACCACCCAAAAAAAGGTTGAAAAAAGACGATATGAAATTTGTACTTCTAGTTTTTATTGAAAAGCGTTAAATTTGGACATGTCATTAGTAATTTGCATGAAAAGGTCCGTTTTTCGATACCTTTGCCTCCAGACGAACTGACACTAGTAGCTGTCCACCAAAGATCGATGTGTGCCGCATTGGCTTCTATTCTGCATCTCGTAGACGTGCCAAAGTGATTCGATGCTTTGTGTGTGAGCTCCAGTCGTTGGATCCACAAAGTTTTCGGTATGATTAACCGTTTCATGAGTATAATTCATGTCAACAATCGTTTCAATTCCTTGGTACGATGCCCACATATCGGAGATGATGATTGAGTCGGGATCGATGCAGGCCTGGATTGTGACCATCA